CCTGACCCAAACCACTCGAAATCTTTGATTTCAGATTTGTTCGACTTTTGGGGTATCTACATGCGTGAGGAGATGAAATTCTTCTGTGTTGTACACACAGCCTGAGGTCACGTGAAGAATTTTCGGCTTTGAAACGGTTTCAGATGTTTCAGATTAGGGGTGATCATCCTGTTATTTATTTATGTATTTTGAAAGTCAGAGTTATAGAGAGAGAGAGAATCTTCCATCTGCTGGCTCACTCCCCAGAAGGCCACAATGGTGAGGGCAGGAGCCAGGAGCTTCATCCGGGTCCCCCAGGTGTGTGGGGGGCCCAAGCCCTTGAGCCATCTTCCGCCGCTGTCCCCAGGCCATAGCAGGGAGCTGAATGGGAAGTGGAGCAGCTGGGACACAAACTGGTGCCCATATGGGACGCCGGCGTCACAGGCGGCGGCTTCACCGTCACATCACAGCACCCGGTCCGATCATCCTGTTCTTAACTAACACAACATTTTAGATTCATCTTAAGAGGAAATGTACGGATTGTTCACGTCCAACCTCCTCATCACAGACATGAGAAAACGAGGCTGGAGCTGGGACCCCAGGAGTGGCAGTGGCTCCTCGCTGGCTGGAGGCAGAGCGGGACGCACCCCCAGGCCCCAGGTTTCCCAGTCTGGTGGGATCTCGCGGACCCCTCACTTGGCGTCCGCTGAGTTGTGTTGAGGATGACTTGGTGCGCAAGCATGAAGAGAATCTGCTTCATCAAACGGAGACGGACACACAATACACAGTTGTCCCTGAGTATCTGAGCGCGGCTGGGTCCAAGTTCCCCACAGCTACCCAAACCCACAGATGCTCAAGTCCCATGTGCAGTATTTGCATGCACCATGCGAACGTCCTCTTGTATACTTTTAAATTAAGTTACGAGAGAGGCAGAGAGAGAGGGAGAGCGAGCCCACCCATCCACTGGCTCCCTCCCCAAGTGCCCCCAAGTTAGGAACTAGGAGCCAGGAATGGGATGCAGGTCTCCCACAGGGCTAGCAGGAACCCAGACCATGGCCCGCTGGAGTCTGCACTAGCAGGAACCTGGAGCCAGGAGCCACGTGCTTGGACGTCTTCACTACGAAGCTGAGTGTCCACTCCGTCTCCCGTGTGCTTTGTAACATCAACACACTGTAAGTGCTATGCAACTGGCCGCTCTGTGAGCACTGCATTGTTTGAGGAATAGCACAAGGAAAAGGAAAATATATACGTGTTTGGCACAGATGCAATTTCTTCCCCGAATATTTTCCATCTGTGGCTGGCTGAGTGCGGCGATGTGGGGGGCCGCGACTGTCGAGGTCTGGACGTGAGGTGTGGGGAAGTGCGCCGAGGTGAACAGTAAGCGCTGGATGCCCCGGCCCACAGGGAGGGAAACTGGCTCCCCGGTGGTTCCGGGGACGCTGTGGCTCCCCGGGGAGTCTCGTGGTCAGACACTTCAGCAAGGGGACCAGAAACTCCCTGCTCAGAAGTCCGACACCTCTCTGCTGGCAGTTCCAAAGCCAGCTGGCAAACAACCCGTGAGGGCTCAGAGCGCACTGGGGGCGGGGACTCGGCGATGAACCCGAGTCACTAGGAAACCATGATTACCGCCCCTGGTAAAATCAGACTCTGGGGGAAATGGCTGTGGGAGAACCGTGTAGCCAGCCTTGGGGCACAGCCCTTGGGCACTGCTTTAGGAAGGAGCTGGGTGGCAAGCGCGGAGGATCCAACTCCACCGAGCAGAGGCAACCAGGAAGGCGGCTCCTGCAGTCCCCACCCCACCGTGCCCACGAACCGGCTGCGCACGGTGAATATTTATGTGGAGAAAGGCGACCCCTTGTGGGCTAACTCTGGAACAAATCGAATCGAACAGCCTGGGAGCCCTATTTCACAGGATGCTGGAAAAATCGCCAGGCTACCAGGGGAGTTCATAATCGTGCCCAGAGGCGCGACGGAGACCCCTGGGCCTCGTGGGAGCCCCGGGGAGGGTCTGCGTGACGGCAGTGTGCCCGGGGGACGCACCCCTGACAGCTGCCCAGAGCCCTTGCGGCCAGGACCTTGCCCTTGGAGCGGCCTGGGGCTCTTCCCGCCTTGCTCCTGCCCAATTCTTTCCCACACCCAGACGCTGAGGAGCCCGGGGAAGCCACCGCGAGGTGCGTCCCTCGAGGACAGCCCGGCCCCGACGCCTTCTCAGCCCGAGTGGGACCCTCGCTTGCCTGGAGGGAGCAGCCCCTGCGGGCGGGCACCAAGCGCACCTCCACCTCGTGTCCCGCATCAGACTCCCCAAACCCAGCCCGATGCTTCCAGCGCCCTTTGCGGCCAGATCGCCGGCTAAGCTGCACTCACCCACCTCTGCTCCCGTCCCAGTTCCAAGAATCACTGTATTCGCTTACGGGGGAAAAATCATTTAATACAAACTATTTTTAACATGGTGTGGGAGGACAAAGGCGGAACCCACACGACCGTAGACAGATCACAGGTGGGTAATTACACATGCAAATGGATTCGATTTGGTAATTCTCCCCTGAATTCCTATTTACACGCTAACAAGTCATGCTAACCCCACACCACCACTGCACTTTGGGTTTCTCTTTATTCTGATGTCAATTCTGAAATATTAACGCCATTTAGAACACCTCGATAACACCGTGTTTCTGAGTTTAGACTGGGGGGGGGGGGGCTCCATACTAACTGATCCACACAGCCGGTAGGAGATGAAAACTACTTTCCTCACTTAAAAAGCGCCCCAGTGTACAAGGTTGCACAGGCTGGGTTTTGGCGGGCGGGGGTTGGGGGGAGGGCGAATCTACTCCTGCAGGAAACGTCCCCTTAAAACCAGAATGCAAAACCCAAGTCATGAAGCAAGAACATCCGGCAGAGCATCAGGAATGAAATGGGAGAAAAGTACTTCCTGCTGAGCAGTCAGGAAGGGCCTCCTGGAGGAGGTGACATTCGAGCAGGGCTGTGGAGGACAAGCTAGAGCTGCACATAGAGCAAAGGGGCAGGTGGAAGGCACGGAGGAGTTCTGACGGGAGGCAGAGCAGGAGGCCACCCTGGGGCAGATCAAGGCCTCCAGGCACAGACGGAGAGAACCCGTGCTGTGCGCTTTGCAGTGACCGCCGTGGGAAGACGCACTTCACAACAGGGTGTCCACCGGGTTACAGCAGAGGGATCCAAACATTAGTGATGCAAGCAAGGGACACCGACGGCTAGGGGAGCAATGGACAGAGAGGGAGGGACGAGAGACTGAGCCAAGAGCTGCCCGACAAGGGGCCGGAGGCGGCAGCGGGACCGTGGGCTCACCCGGCCCCACGCGCCCTCACACGCACTGCTGGCTACAGACGCAGTGCGGGAACTCAGAGCTCCATTTGCTGGAGAAAGGGGAGGGGAGCTCACGCCTGGGAAGCCTCCTATCGGATCCTCCCTGACAGATGCAGGAGGATGGGGCAAACAGCTGCAACACACCCCCAGGAGTCTCCCCAGGCCGCCCACCCATTTCCGACTGCTCCATCCGGGACCTTCCCTCAAAAGGCAAGCGCAGGGAGCGTCATGCGAGGCTCCTTCGTGCCCGGAGCGCCTGAGGCTGCTGTGCCGTGGCTCCTGGCTCCCGGCCTTGCCCGTGGTAAACGCCCAGCACCTGCAGAGAACCCTGCAGGCGGGCACGCCCTGCCCAGGCAGCCACTTGTCCCATGGGGGACGCTGGCGTGGCCGTGTGGGAGCCCCACAGACCCACAGTAGATTTATGACAGGTTTTTTTTTTTTTTTTTTTTTAAGTTGTTTATTTGAAAGGCACAGTTACAGGGAGGCAGAGAGAGAGATCTTTCTTCCACTGGTTCACTCCCCAGATGACTGTAATGGCCAGAGCTGTGCCAAGCCAAAGCCAAGAGCCAGGAGCTTCTTCCAGGTCTCCCATGCCAGTGCAGGGGCCATCTTCTACTGCTTTCCCAGGCCACAGCAGGGAGCTGGATCAGAAGTGGCGCAGCCAAGACTTGAACTGACGCCTGCAAAGGATGCCGTACCCCCTCCGCCACAGCACCAGTCCCTAGGATGAGACCTCACGCAGAGCCAGGAGCACCAGTCCTGCAGCGGCCCCCAGAGAGGAAGACCCTGGGTGGGGACCCCTCAGGCTGGCAGTCTAGGAGCCTCAGAGATCCCGCTCCCATTGCAGAGGCAAAGCCCCTCCTGCAGGGACATCCCAGGAGGCCAAGGCTGAGGACAGCCCCTCTGAGACTGTCCAGGGACCGGCCTTCAGAGGCTTGGCTCGCTGCAACCGTGTGGCATGGCGGGTGTGGGCTAGCATGGAGGTGCACACATCTGAACGCAGGGGTGGGGAGCAGAGCAAAGTCACCCCTGGGAGGGAGCCACGTGGGCAACCTGAGCCACGTTTCTCTTGTGCTCCCCAATAAGGGCTTCGTTAATTAGCGCCATGGAGGTTAGAAACGCTCTTCGTGATGCGTGGCTGGCTACAAACAGCACACAGCCCCGCCTGCCCAGGGTGGACAGGTGCGCGGGACTAGGGGGCGTGGCCCCTGCACTGACCGCTGAGCTAGCGGAAACCAGTGTGAACTCACTGGCACGCCTGTTCAGAGCGAGCTTTCGCACAGGTGCCACCAGGGCCCCGGCAAGCTTCCTGAGGCTGGACGGCCGTCTGGCGGCCGGCAGGGACTGATGCTGCCTTTGTGGGACCACGTTCCACCTGGCGGCGAGCTTGTGAGCAAGGAGACGGAGAGGGCTCGCTTGTGCCACGTGGGACTAGCAGGTTTCGACGACGTCACAAGAAGAACCCAGTACTGGTGAACTGATCAAGCCCCTGTGTGGGCCCTGTGCTGTGACGGGCTCAGGAACCCAGCGTCCTCTGGGGAACGCCTTCTCAAGTTCCAGGAAGAGGCGGAGCACCCCGTCCATAGCCAGCAGCAGGAAGGGGCTGCCACGGTGCCCAGTGCCACGCTCAGCAGTGCGTGTGTTGTCGCACCGGGATCTGTGATGCCGGATGAAAGGCAATCTGAAGGCGCTGTGCTTTCGTCTTTATTCTCTTTCCCATTATACAAATAACCCCGTTCTCTCTGTGAAAGCCCTGCGTCACACACACTGACAACCTGCACCCCGTGTCTCCCAGACTGGTAGCCCGCAGCAGTAAATCAACAGGACAAAGTCACCCACACGGCACGTCTCCCCAGAGGGCCGTGCGCGTCCGTTCTCCCCAGAGAGCGCTCGGGCGCTCCAGCTGCGGGAACCTCCAAGGCTTTCTCAATGTTCCATAGGACAAGCCAAAGCATCAGCAGTGAGTTAGCTTAAAAAAAACAGGAAATGGAGGACAAGGAATTTGACCAGAGGAGAAAACAGTTCAGAAACCATCCTAGCTTCTTACCAAAATAAAAACTCCTAAAGTTCAATTCCGTAAAATGGCTGGAACACTTGAACGTGGGAACAGTCACTTCAGCACCACACACAGCCGTCCAGGTAACTCCCCAGCTCTGCTCACTGAGCGCTCAGCTCTTGCAGCCGGGAGAGCAGAGTTTTGACTCCACCTCGCACAGCTGCTTCTGCAGGCCTTGCAGCACCTCCTCCATCTAGCGAGCGGAGAGAATACAAACACAGTAGAGTCACGCGGGACTGTGTGCGATTAACACGCGCGATGTGAACACAGTTTCAAACATTTCATGCATTACACATGCTGACTATTCAGTATTTGTAAGACGTAACTACTCAGAGGCATAGATCTGATTTAAATAAGACATAATAAATAAATCACACGTAACTCTATTAACAGTAGTTCTCAACCTACAGTCTGTTTACAGTTCCTTTAAACACGCCCCCTCCCTCTTGCCTATCTGGCCATGAAAAGATGTTAACATTCAACAGTGAAGCTGTTTATACCACAAGAACTGGATCAAATAAAAAAGGGACTTCATTCAAAGATGGATTTCCAGTTTAAGTTTTGGGATACAGACTGCTTTAACTCTGGCATGAGATGTCTTCCTTACACTTCATCAACTTGAGTTCATGGTTGGTTCCCAAAAATCAACATGAACTCCCAGTGTGGAAACGCTAAGATCAAGCAGGTATGGGGCCGGCAAAGTAGCTAAGCCTCCGCCTGCAGAGCCAACATCCCCTGTGGGCGCCGGTTTGAGTCCCAGCTGCTCCTCTTCCAACCAGTTCTCTGCTGTGGCCTGGGAAAGCAGTAGAAAGATGGCCCAAGTACGTGGGCCCCTGCACCCACGCGGGAGACCCAAAAGAAGCTCCTGGCTTTGGGTTGGCCCAGCTCCAGCTGCTGCGGCCATTTGGGGAGTGAACCAACGGATGGAGGACCTGTCTCTGTAATTCTACTTCTCAAATAAATAAATGTTAAAAAACAACAACAACAACAAGCAGGTGGCAACACAAAGAGCACTTGTTCACTGATAGAAGCTGTTCACAAAAGGATAGAAAATGTGCAGAAAAAGTTACCTGTTTTAGAGACTTTTCTATTTCAACTCTGCTTTCAAGATTAAACAGCTCTTCATCTTCTGACACTATCCGTTTTTCAGAGGATCCCAAAACATAGCTGAGGAACAGAACAGAACAAAGTTAAGATGCGATAAGGAACAAACACTAAATGAATGGCAGTTAATAATATGAGCACTCTAAGTACATTCCACAGATCAACACCAAGTCAGCAAATAGAGCTATTCTTGTGAAGAGGGACCACGCAGGAAGCTCTACTACGTACCTCATGCCTTCCTCCACAGCGGCTTTGTCTGCACAGCTCTACATCCCAATTCTCCAGCATTACAAGTATCTCATTACTGGCACAAACCTGCTCTAGGCAAACTGGGTGGCAAAGCATCATCACTCATAGCTCAGCCACCTAAGGACCCGGAAGAAGCCTCCCCTGTCTTGCTTTATCTAACGGCAGAAACATGTGCCACTTCCAATTTGACCTTTTTTCCAATTTTTTACTTAAGAGGGGCAGGGGAGAGAGCAAGAGCACGACCTCCCGTCTGTTGTCTCACTCCCCAGTGCCCCCAGTAGCCAGAGCTGGAAACTCGATCCAGTTCTCTCACGTGGGTGGCAGGGACCAACTACTTGGGCCAACTGTGTGCTACCTCCCAGGGTGTGCATTAGCCGGAAGCTGGAATCAGGAGCTCAGAATTAAACCCAGGGACTTTGGGGCCGGCGCTGTGGCACAGCGGTGAAAGCCCTGGCCAGCAGTGCTGGCATCCCATATGGGTACCAGTTCGAGTCCTGGCTGCTCTACTTCCAATCCAGCTCTTTGCTATGGCCTGGGAGAGCAGTAGAAAATGGCCCAAGTCCCTGCACCCACATGGGAGACCCTGAGGAGGCTCCTGGCTCCTGATCAGCTCAGCTCCACTGTGGTCATTTGGGGAGTAAACCAGTAGATGGAAGACCTCTCTCTCTCTCTGGCTCTACCTCTCTCTCTAACTCTGACTTTCAAATAAATAAAATAAATCTTAAAATAAAATATAATAATAAAATAAACCCAGGGACTTCAATGTGGAACACAGCTGCCTTAACCAGTAGGATAAACACCTGCTCCTAAATGAGACTTTAAGTAATAAATTGTGGTGGTCAATACTTGATTAACCAAATGTCAGCAACTGTAACAGTTATTCTCCAACTTACACTGTGTTTGCCTCTCATTGTTACAAGATGCCATGGTTTAGGAAAGTAGGAAGTAGCAGAAGAATCAGCTGGCAATGGAGGGGAACCAGCTCTGGGCTGGCAACCAGCTACATCTAAACAGTAAGGACGGAGATGCCAGCATCTCTCAAAGAAAACTCGAGGGGCCAGGGCTGTGGCGCCAGCTCCCGGCATCCCACAGCAGAGTGCTGGCGGGAGTCCCCACAGCTCTGTCTCTGCTCCAGCTTTCTACCAATATGCCTGGCAAGGCAGAGGAAAATAGCGTGGTAGGCAAACTGCAGAAGGCAACCGACATCCTACTTAGAAAACCAAAGATGCGGTGGGAAAATGACATGGCACCGAGCAACTGATAAAACTGTAAATAAATGGCACAGAGGGCAGCCCTGGCATTACAATTCCACCCCAAGGGGCCAGTGCCGTGGCATAACGGGTTAAGCTACCACCTGCAAATCCAGCATCCCACTTGGGTGCTGGTGCTAGTCCCTAACGTTCCACTTGCGATCCAGCTCTCTCTAATGCACCTGGAAAAGCAGCAGAAGATGGCCAAGTCCTTAGGCTCCTGCATCCATGTGGGAGACCCAGATGGAGCTCCTGGCTCCTGGCTTTGGCCTTGTCCTGCCCTGGCCCTTGCAGCCATTCGGGCAGAGAACCAGCAGATGGAATATCTCTCTCTCCTCACTCTCTCCCTCTGTAGCTTTGCTTCTCTCTGTGGCTTTGCCTTTCAAATAAATCTAAAAAATACACACACACACAAACTTATTTTTTTAAAAAAAATTCTGCCCAAGAAGTAGCCTGTCTCCTAAAATCAACTATTCAGGAAAAACAGCCTTGACAACCATGATCTCCTGCAGTAAAACCTCCCACGTATTTTCTTCTGTAACACAATATCGCTTTTTAGAAAAATTACTCTCATTTTATTTGAAAGGCAGAGAAAGACAGGAACCTTCCATCCACTGTTCACTCCCCAAATGCCTGCAACACACAGGGCTGGCCCAGGCCAAAGCCAGGAGCTTGGAAGTCAGTCTGTGTCTCCCACATGGGTAATAGGGACCCACCCAAGTACCTGAGCCAGCATCTACTGCCTCCCGGGTTTACATCAGCAAGAAGCTGGATCAGAATTAAAGCAGGCCCTGTCCTATGGGTTGGGGACATCCCAAGCAGCAACTTAACCACTGAGACATAGCCCCAGAAAATACTTAAAAAGAATCCTTCTCAAGTTCATTCCATTTTTAAAAACAAATGAACACAGGCCGGCGCCGCGGCTCACTAGGCTAATCCTCCACCTTGCAGCGCCGGCACAAAACCGGGTTCTAGTCCCGGTCGGGGCACCGGATTCTGTCCCGGTTGCTCCTCTTCCAGGCCAGCTCTCTGCTGTGGCCAGGGAGTGCAGTGGAGGATGGCCCAAGTACTTGGGCCCTGCACCCCATGGGAGACCAGGAGAAGCACCTGGCTCCTGCCATCGGATCAGCGCGGTGCGCCGGCCGCGGCGGCCATTGGAGGGTGAACCAACGGCAAAGAAGACCTTTCTCTCTGTCTCTCTCTCACTGTCCACTCTGCCTGTCAAAAAACAAACAAACAAAAAAGAACATATTTTTACTCCAAAAAAAAGCCACAATTTAGGAGTGCTGATTTTTCCAATATCAAAAAATTAGAGCAAAGCAAAGAGAAAAAGAGAGAGACAGAGAGAGAAATTAACCGGCTTTACTGTCAGAAAGTACTACCTGGAAATGTCGTTTAAGCGTGGTTTAGCTCTGACGTCTTCATAGCAATTTCTCTGCAAACTTAACTCTCTGAGAGGTCAGTTACCCAGTGGCCACTTAAACATCAAACTTACCTTTCAATGGCTTCGACACTGAGGCAAAACAAGTCCCTCTTGTAATCAAGGCTCTTGGGGGTGCATCTGTATATGTAGCCGAGGTTGAGGGAGCAGCCGGCGCAGTACAGGGTCTCGAGGACGCTGCGTAAAGACATAGCACCACTTTAGGAAGCAAAGCAGCAACTTGCTACAGAACACCCACTGCTGGCACCCACAAACGCTTCAACACTCAGGTTTCCAGGGTTTGTCATTCTGACCGTGTTTAGTTACATGTATTCATATAAGGAAGGAAAAAAATCAGAGTAAGACATTTATAATAGAAATGCAAGGACAGCCACACTGCCATCCACATCTGACGGCAGGAACATGCACACGGCAACAAGAGGAGGAGACCATCAAGTGCATGTGTTACGGCGCAAACTCTGCGGCCAGGGCTGTGCCCCAGCAGGTTAAGCTGTCGCTTGAGATGTCAGCATCCCATATGAGCGCAGGTTCAAGTCCCAGCTGCTCCACTTCCAATCCAGCTCCCTGCTAATGTGCTTGCGAAAGTGGCAGAAAATGGTCCAAATGCTTGGGCTCCTGCTACTCACATGGGAGACCCAGATGGAGTTCCAAGGTCCTGGCTTCAGCCTGAATTAGCCGTGGCTGCTGTGGCCATTGGGGAGTGAACCAGTGTATGGAAGTTCTCTCTCCCTCTTTCCGTAATGCTATCTTTCAATAAATAAATCTTAAGAAAAATAAAGAATGTAAACTCTTTGATTATAAAGAAAATTGGGAAATAAGACAAAAAGATTCTACACGTCCTTTTAATGCCATTGTCCAAGGAGCCCAACAACGGCAGGGAGAGGCAACTCCTGTGTAATGACGCAGAGAATAACTAATCCTTACTACTGGCCTCTGCCGTCACGGCACGGAAACAGCTTACAGACACTGCAGAACTCAATCACCTAGGTTCACAGAGAGGCATCCAGCCCAGGGCCTCTGCCTGCCCCTGCATTGGCAGAAAGCTAACACAGCCCAGTTTAGAAAAAGCCTCTAAAGTTAAATGACAGCCTGAAGAAAGCCCACCAATACACCGTAAGTGAGTTTAGTCTGGCAGGGACACAAACCATCCCTGTGAGTAGCAAAGCAAGCCCCAAAGACTGAGGGGCCATAACTCAATCTGCCGACCCTGAACCAGCTTCCGGCTCCTGCGTTAAGGGGTTTTTAAAAAGTCTCGGATGTGTGCCTGTGATCTGTGTGTTAGAGCTGCCTGTTAAAGGATCTACTCACCACCAGCACTTTCCCAGCAACCCCAGGCACGCCCCACACAGGTCACTCACACGTACTTCATGACCCGCCGCCTCTCCACTCACTTGTTCCTTCATCCTGGACTCTCCTCAGCCTGGCTTGCAACATCTGAATATACTCCCTTCCTGTCAACCTGTCTTCCTTAATCTGCCTCAGAATCACCGTTTCCAAAAAGCCTTGCTGACTTGGCTCATTCAATTTGCCACTGCGTGAGTAATCCACAGTAAAATTTTAGACCTAACACAGCAAATTAATAAGTGGAGATTTTTCTTCTCAGACTTAAAAAAAAAATTTTACTTGAAAGGCAGAGTGATGGGGATGGGGGATGGGTACGATCGTCCATTGGTTGGTTCACTCCCCAGATGTCCGCAACAACCAGCTCTGGGCCAGGCTGATGCCAGGAGCTAGATAGAACTCTGTTCTGCTCTCCCACATGCATGGCAGGGGCCTTTTTTTCTTTTTTTTTTTTAAAGATTTATTTATTTATTTGAAAGTCAGCGTTACACAGAGAGAGAGAGAGACAGAGACAGAGAGAGGGAGAGAGAGAGAGAGGTCTTCCATCCGATGGTTCTCTCCCCAACTGGCCACAACGGCTGGAGCTGCACCGATCTGAAGCCAGGAGTCGGGAGCTTCTTCCAGGTCTCCCACGCGGGTGCCAGGCCCTTGTACTTGGCCCATCATCTACTGCTTTCCCAGATGCATTAGTAGGAGCTGGATCAGAGTAGAGCTGCCGAGACACCAACCCCACTGGCACTTTGATATGGGATCAGCACCAAGGCTACTGCTTAATCCCCTGCACTGTAACACTGGCCCCACGACTGGAGACTGAAATCTAGTAGGAAGCGCACAGGTGGACTACACAGAAGATTACTATTTTGTAGGGCTGACACTGGGGTGCAGCGGGTTACAACACCGCTTGGGAAGCCGGCATCCCGTATCGGAGCCTGGTGTGGCTGGCTACGCTGCCTTCTGGTGCTCCGCACTGCCTGCTAACGCACCTAAAAGGCAGTGGATGATGGCAGAAGTACCTGGGTTCATGACAGGACTTCACAGACCCAGGTGGAGTTCCTGGCTCCTGGTTTTGGCCAGGCCTAGCCCAGCTATTGCAGGCCTTTGGAGAGTGAACTAGCAGATGGAAGACACCACTCAGCGAATAGAAGATATTTCTTCCTCTCTGTCACTCTGCTTCTCAAATAATAAATCTTTCAAAAAAATCATCAGATAAGTATTCTAACTCCTACTCAGGACGTGAGCCACTTGTAATCACTGCCTACCAGTTCCTTGATCAAGCAAAAGGAAACACCCCGGACTCAAACAGCAGACTCCACACACATCACTGTTCACCTACAGACACACAGGGACATTCTGAACTCCTGTAGCAACAGAGCAACATGAATCACTATCTGATAAATTACAAGTTCTCACTGGTAATGTAATAGCTAGATAATATCCCACCAATTATATATGAAGCTTCTGTGAGCTTTAATAAGCCTTTATAAAAGAAAAACAAGAAAAAGAAGAGCATCTTATAAGTAAACTCCAAGTAGGGAACCCGGCCTGCACCACGGGCAGCTAACGGCGAAGCTCCGCGTTCCACGTCAAGCCTCCTGGTTACCGCAGTGGCCACACACAATTACCAAGACCGTGCGCTGGGCCGGGGCGCCTTTTGACAGGGACTTCACAGAACAGACGCCTCCTTCTTCTGCGCTCAGCCCGAAGATCCAAACAGGGAGCGTCAGCCAGGCCTTGAGGAATCTAGAAACTTCCACCTCACTATCTACAGGGCACCACCCGCTGAACTGATGAATCTGAGTACTGACTTTATCCTGACGACCAGGAAATCAGTTTGATCCCAAGTTCTGACGCTGGTCGCGACGGAAGAGTTCCTTGGAGCACACCTTCTCTAAGCACATGCTCCCGCCCAGACGGCCTGACTCACCAGCCATTTTCATCTTTACGTTTGGAGAGCTTCTGCTCCTTATCCACAGAAACGTTACAGGAAACACCTAGAGGAAGCAACAACACGTTATGTTAAAACACATATGCAGACATTCAGAGCTTCTAATCAACGTTTAGAACACAAAGCACCAGAAAAAATAGGAGCCCAAAGTCACATGTACACACACACACACACACACACACACGCGGACACATACAAGTTGGGTGCAAAGGAAATGCACAGTGATTTTTCTGGAAAAAGACGGCATTAGAGGAGTTATTTGCTTCCCTTCCCAGAAGAACACTGGGACTGGTGAGCAGAACCAGCATGGAAAATTCAATCCGCGGCGGGACTTGGAACAACTAGGACCTGAAACCACAGACTACAAGGAAGCTCTGCCTGACACACGTCCCAGTGGGAGCAAGGCAGCAGCGCATAGCCAGTGCACGCACCTGCAGATCCCAAGGGCAGAGCTCGAGTCCCTAAAAGCAACCACAAGGGCCCTCAGGACCCCAGCCAAACATCCTCCACGGGGACCACGACTTGGACGGGGGAAGGGGGTACAGCTGGACCCCAGAAGCAGCAGATTCCTGGAGGATCCTGCCCGAGACACAGGAAAGAGGGGAGACAGGAGGCCAGAAGGAGACCAAGAAGAGACACCAGGCATAAAGGGACCAAAAACATACGCCTGCTGTCACCTCTGCCTACAGGCCTCCTCCTGCCTCAGCTCGGCAAGCTGCACCTTCATCCACGCGGCTGCTGTCTTTCTGGGTCCTTCCTCCCCGCATCCTTCCCCCCCTACATGCACCCCACAGGTAGGTCTGTCCATTCCGTCTCACAAGTCTCCCTCCACTGCCACCAAACCACTGGTGCCACCTCTTGCAAGGACAACCCCACTAGCTCCTCCTCCAATGCCTTCTCCAAAGGGGATCATTACCTCTCCCCTGCACACCAGAACGCAGTCCTGTCTTTCAGAGCAGCCTACAAGGCCCTGAGTTTCCAGCCTCTTCCCTCCATCCTTATTTTTCCTCTGACCTTCGGCCACACTAGCCTCAGGCCCTCTACACAAGCTGTTTCTCAGAAAAGCAAAGAGCAGGGTCCAAGGACTGTACACGCCCCTGAGTGGGCATCCGTGCACAAGGCCAATCAAGACCTTTCCAAGCGCTCAAACGTCACATTATCACAGCGATGAGGGAGGCAGGAGGGAAGGGTGGACTACTACCGACAATTACCTAACTGAGGAATGGGAACGCTGCTAATAAACTTTATCTTTTTTTTTTTTTTTTTTTTTTTTTTTGGACAGGCAGAGTGGACAGTGAGAGAGACAGAGAGAAAGGTCTTCCTTTTGCCGTTGGTTCACTCTCCAATGGCCGCTGCGGCTGGCGCACCGCGCTGATCCGATGGCAGGAGCCAGGTGCTTCTCCTGGTCTCCCATGGGGTGCAGGGCCCAAGCACTTGGGCCATCCTCCACTGCCTTCCCGGGCCACAGCAGAGAGCTGGCCTGGAAGAGAACAACTGGGACAGAACCCGGTGTGCCGGCGCCGCAGGTGGAGGATTAGCCTAGGATTAGCCGCGGCGCCGGCCACTAATAAACTTTCATATACACGCAAGGAGTGAGTACTGGGGTGACAAAGGCAGTCCTGTACACATTAAAGCTAAAGACCACGTTATGGCTACAAGACTGAACGCAGATGCTATAAGCCTTGAAAAAGCGACAACAATAAACTAAATCAAACCGGGGCAAGAAGGAATGCAAATTAATCCAAGAAGGAGGGAGGTGAGAAAGGGGGCAGTTAGCCAAAGCTGGTGAATCAAGAACCTTATACAAACTTAGTAGGAGCCAGCATTGTGGCACAGCAGGTAAAGCTGCCACCTGCGAAGCCGGCATCCCATACGGGAGCCGGTTCGAGTCCCGGCTGCTCCACTTCCAATCAAGCTCCCTACTAAGGGCTCAGGAAAAGCAGAAAACAGCCCAAGTCCTTGGGCCCCTGCACCGCATGGAAGATACAGATGAAGTGCCGGGCTTCAGCCTGGCTCAGTCCTGGCCGCTACAGCCAGACGGGGCGTATACCAGCAAATGGAAGATATCTCTCTCCCTTCCCCTTCTCTCTCTCAAATACTTTTTAAAAACACTATAGAAGAAATATTATTTTTATATATAAAACAAAATAAACAGCCCTGGGGCTGGCGCTGTGGTGAGGCAGGTAAAGGCACCGCCTAGGATGCCAGCATCCCATATGAGCGCCGGTCCATATGATCCAGTTCCCTACTAATGGGCTGGAAAAGCAGCGGACGAAGGCCCAAGCGCTTGGGCCCCTGCACCCACACGGAAGACCCTAAAGAAGCTCCTGGCTCTAGACCAGCTCAGCTCTGGCCACTGTGGCCATTTGGGCAGTGAACCAGCAGATGGAAGATCTCTCTCTCTCTCTCTCTGTCTCTCTCCCTCTAACTCTGCCTTTCAAATAAATATAAAAAAAAAAAAAAAAAAAAAAAAAAAAGCCTGTGTGGCTAAATGTTTTTTAAAAAGCTATAAAAACAGGCCGGTGCCGCGGCTCACTAGGCTAATCCTCCACCTTGCGGCGCCGGCACACCGGGTTCTAGTCCCGGTCGGGGTGCCAGATTCTGTCCCGGTTGCCCCTCTTCCAGGCCAGCTCTCTGGCCTGGGAGTGCCAGGGAGTGCAGTGGAGGATGGCCCAGGTGCTTGGGCCCTGCACCCCATGGGAGACCAGGAGAAGTACCTGGCTCCTGCCATCGGAACAGCGCAGTGCGCCAGCCACGGCAGCCATTGGAGGGTGAACCAACGGCAAAGGAAGACCTTTCTCTCTGTCTCTCTCTCTCACTGTCCACTCTGCCTGTCAAAAAAAAAAAAAGCTATAAAAACAAAGTACAAATAAAATATTTCACATATTATTTCTTAAAAAGCCAGAAAGACAAATCCACCTATGAAAAAGAGCTTCTCCTACATCGAAAATCTCAACCCCAGTATAAGCTGGACGCAACCTAGACCCCATCCAGAGACGGCCGGGGTGGATTAGGGCGTGTGTAAGCGGCACCTGGCGCTCGCTCTGTGCAAACGACAGACACTAACTCAGTCACCCTCACAACCACTCAGCGGCAGGGGCAGCACCTTTTGACAAAGACGCAAACTGAGGCAGAGAGGTGCAGCAACCTGCCCAGGGTACCCGCGTCAGCGCAGGCCAGGACTCAAGCTCCAGCGGCCTAGAGGTTTCCCAGCGAGCTACACCCAGCAGCGTCTAAAAGAGAAACAAATCTAACCCAGCGTGGGAAAGTATTCAGAGTACGCGTGCGGGGAAAAACAAGGGCAGTTCATAGCACGCAACCGCGAGTGTTTTCAGAATTTCACGCGTTCAAAGATGCTCACCAAGGCAAGAAATGCATCCGGACACATACAGAGACTACGGGAAGTGCGACACGCCCTTCGCACCTTACAGCCGTCTGCACTGTTGATTTCAACAGGCGCAAAGGAGTCACCTCGACGGACCACACGGCCAGGGCGTGCCTAGGCTGGCTGTCCAGGGACGCGGCCACCGTCGGCACCGATCGCCCAACCACCACTGAGCTGGCGCCATCGAAATGCTTACAGGATGCGAGCAGAGCCGAACTGCCTCGGGGAAACCCCAAGTCCGCGGAGAAGGCTCCTTCTGCGCCCATTCGGGAGAACTTCAGAAGCGGAAAGACCTCCCCCCAAAACCCACAAAACCCACAAGGAAAGGGTCGAACCCGAAACAAAGGGGAAACTCGCGCCGACCTAACGCCTAGCTGAAAACTCAGCTTCTTCAACCCCCGACGGTACTGTTCGCTACCTGGGCGCCCGCTAACTCCCGCAGCCAAGCCCCGCGCCCTGGGCGGGCAGCACCCCGAAACCATCACGGCCCGATCGGTCATCTGCTCCTGGCTCTTCTGAGATGGGGGACCCCACCCCCAGGAGAAGCACCTGTCGCTCGGGAGCTGCGCGAGGCGCAGGGACCTGAGCCCCTGCTGCTACGGGGCCGCCCAGGTGCGGTGCACCTGAGGAGACGGCCGCCCCCCACCCCGCGCCGCGCCGGCCCCCAGCCAGAACCGACAGCGCAGCAGAATGCAGTTGGCGTCCTCCAGGCTGGTCACCCAGCTCAGCGAGTCGCCGAGCGGCCGCCGGCAACCGGAGCACAGGAACACGAGCGGCCTCTCCTCCTCCTCCGCCGCCGACGCCGCCTCGCGCGGCGCCTTCTCCGCCCCGACCTCCGACGCCTCCCCGCTCGTGGAGCTCCAGATGCTCGCCCACTTCTGCAGCAGCTGGTGGCGGCTCGAGTCCTCCGAGAGCCGCCTGCCTAACAACGAGGACTCGCTCCACTTGGCCCTGTTGTCACGGCCACGGCGAGGGCAGGAGTACCCTGCGCCGCAATCCGGCGACCATGCGCCCGCCATTACGTACAAATCGCCCGCGCCCGGAGCGTCCAGGGAGAAAACCACGCCCCCTGTGCGTGCGCATGCGCGGACGGGCCCAGGCGGTGGCGGCCGCAGCCGAAAACTGAGGGGCGGGGGACGCACGCCCCCTCTAGTGCGCATGCTCGTCGTGGGATTGGGCCGGGCCGGCGGTCACTGCGCATGCGCCAGGTTTTCCAACCTGCGGAAGTTGATGCTGTTGGAGATGGGGGCTTTAGGTTTACCTCCTACATAAGGAGCGGCTTGATGGAGAAAGGGACGGGCTCCCTGTTAAATTGCGAAGGTCTCGGCCACGCCTTCACAGTGGTCTGTAACAGCGCATAGGAGCGCGCGCCAACCTCCCACGCCCTCGCGAGCCCAGTGGTCACCTGGGGGCCCGCACCTGCTCGGCTTCCGGGTGGGTGAGGAGGGGTTTGGCTTGAGAGTGTACCTGTAGACGCGTGCGGAAGCTCCGCCCCCTGTTCACTGTAGATTGGCAGATTACGTTGTGTGTAATTTCCGCTGCTGTGGTTTGCTCCTGGGGGGCCCGCTTTCCTTGAAGGGCAGAAAACAGGGTTTCTTTTTGCCTTGTAACTCCTGGGACAAGGTCCTGGAGGGAGCCCGATGGCTCGGGCTGGCGCGGCAGGGGAAGGGGAGGGCAGCGGCAGGGTGGCCGGTCATGGAACCGGAAGCTCCTCACTCTTGCACGGGGACCAGCTCTTCAGCGAGGGCAGCAAAGGCGGAAACCCATCCTCTGTCGTTAACATCAGGCACCTCGGCTCCCTCCCTCGGCTCGCTGTCCCTGTGTCTTCACTGTGGGGCTCACAGGTCAACTCCTTACGACAGAGTAAGCTCACTAACTTAAAGGGGTGGTGCAGGGGGCAGGCTCACCCTCAGGATCCCAGGTCACAAGTCCCAGAATTCCGTTGTCACCTCTGTGGTTAACATCCTAACAGCTGGACTCTGTTTCAGGATGCGTTGGGGGACGCCAGGCCCTGATCAAATAAGGCAATGACCAGGCTCACTACAGACCCCAGACAGCCCGAGCCCACCTTACTGGCACAGTGGGTTCAGAAAGCTGTGCTGACCAGTCAAAGGAAGGCCATGAGCACTGCGGACCAACCAGAAGCCCACCCGTGAGCCGCACACTCGCTGCACCGTTTATCCATTCGGAGTGAACACGAGCTGCCTGCCTGGCTCCTTGCTCTGGGCATTGCAAGATGAGCACCTGCGTTCTCCCACCCCGCTGCTGTCAGCGATTGGCTGGCTGCACGTAGACAAGGGCCCTGGTTTGGATAGATGAACAGCCCTGCCAGGCCGCCTCGGATAAGGCTCCGTACTGCGTCCCTTGATGCTCTGCAGGCTTTTGGAGAGGCAGTTTGTTCCTGTTGACTACCTCCGATCGGAAGAAAGGGCTTTGTCCCACCACTGAGTTCTCGTCTCCCCCTGCTTCTGTGGGGTCAAGCCTGACCTTCCTGTGCTGTGTTTTTGTTTTTGTTTTTGTTTTTGTTTTTTGACAGGCAGAGTGGATAGAGACAGAGAGAAAGGTCTTCCTTTGCCGTTGGTTCACCCTCCACTGGCTGCCACGGCCGGCGCACCGCGCTGATCCGATGGCAGGAGCCAGGTGCTTCTCCTGGTCTCCCATGGGGTGCAGGGCCCAAGCACTTGGGCCATCCTCCACTGCACTCCCGGGCCACAGCAGAGGGCTGGCCTGGAAGAGGGGCAACCGGGACAGAATCCGGCGCCCCGACCGGGACTAGAACCCGGTGTGCCAGCGCCGCTAGGTGGAGGATTAGCCTAGTGAGCCGCGGCGCCGGCTCCTGTGCTGTTTTCAAGCACACTGGCACCACACTGACACACCACGTGAGTTCCTTAGGTGCGTGGGCAGTAACTTTGGAGTTGCTCTGTCCGTATTATACATGTAAAATACTTCGGTAGCCACAAAGCCCTGTGTTGTGTGAGGATACAGTGAGATGCAAACTGCCATCCCCGCCCTTCCCCTCTCTTCCTTCTGCAGTAGGCGATTCCGGTAAGCTTGAGTCCAAGTGCTTCATCATCACAGTTCCAGGAACAGGCCGCCAGGTCTCAACCCTTCTCCCACAGTGACTGGTGCAGGGCCAGCACCTACCCAGACTTAAACCAGAGAGCACGTGTCCCCACCCCCACCCCAGCCACGGGAGCTGACTCACCATAGCAGCTTGACCTAAGTCATCCGATCAGTAGACCTCCGGACTCCTGCTCCGAAAGAGATGGCCTCTTTGTGCCCAGGATCTGGGAAGCAAGCACCATGTAAACATGGAGAGCCGTGGAGCTGAGGGAGCCACAGGGGAACTGAGCGCTCAGCTTCTGAATGTGTTTGTTCTGTGAGCCAGACAGTTCTCTTTATTGTGGAAGCCAGTTTGAACTATTGCTTTGCTCTCTTTTACTATCAGTTAAAGTCAGGTATAATAATCTATTATGTATGTTAAGATTGACGTTTTGGCTGAGACTCCAAGGTGAAGCAAAAATGAGACACCAAAGTCTGTGTGAGAAAGTTTATCCTCAGAGGTTTTTTTTTTTTTTTTAAGATGTATTTATATATTTATTTATTTGAAAGAGAGAGAGAGAGAGGTCTTCCATCTCCTGGTTCACTCCCCAGATGGCTGCAATGGCTGGAGCTGTGCTGAACTGAAGCCAGGAGCCAGGGGCCTCTTCTGGTTCTCCCATGCAGGTGCAGGGGCCCAAGGACTCGGGCCATCCTCTACTGCTTTCCCAGGCCATAGCAGAGAGTGGGATTGGAAGAGGAGCAGCCAGGACTAGAACCAGCGCCCATAAGGGATGCTGGCACCGCAGGCGGAGGATTAAGTTAGTGCACCACGGTGCTGGCCCCCCCTCCTTTCACTTTCACACAACATTGGAGCCAACACCATTCTCCCTCAACCCACAGGGATGCCAGAAGAAGCTGCTAGAAGCCAAAAGGACAACGAGTTGTGCACACAGGCCACCTCGAGAGGCCTGCCTTTCTGTGTAGGGATGTGGCCAGCTGAGATGGCCCTACGGGGATGGAGGCAGCAGGTTGAATTCCCTCACTGCACTGTCTCCCTCCCTCCAGTTGCCTGCTGTACCTCGCATTACGCAGATTCAGTGGGCTCCAAGGGTGTGGGACATCCTGATGTAATCTGCGCAGGTCAGTCTCCCACGGCGGAGAGCAGGCTCTGGGGATCTGAAGGAATCAGGCACACAGACTGCCTCTGTGCCCATCCAGAGGCAGGGAAGCCCATCCTCACCGAGTAAGGCCTAAGGGCATAACCAGCAACAAAATTTAAAATCTGGTTCCGTTCCCATTCTACCCAGCACAATTTCTTGCTCACTGTCTCAGTTACCCCTACTCCCCGACTCAGCCTTGGCTTCTGGCTTGGTTCAAAAGCTTTGATATAAATAACAAACAGATGCTAGTCTAATAGCAATGGCCAACACTGGAGGCAGGAAGATGGGAAACAGAATATGACGATGTGAGAAGGGATGGGAAGAGGGGGAGAAGAAATACTAATGAGACCTTGAGAGCTTTGAACTGTAGCTGCGTAAAAGGAGAAAAACTCAGAAAGTAAGGGCTGCTGAGGACGGTCCTGGGCTAGATTTTAATGCCATGCAACTCTTATACTTCCACAAGACAATGACAATGTGATTAAGGTCAGGGAAGTAGGTGAGGCGCTCCCCTTACTGCATAGACGGCCAGCTGCAGCTGCACCTGCGGACATCGTCATCCAGCTGACTGGTAGACGTGGAGCTGGGGGCCAGAAAGCTCACAAGGCTGCCCTCCACGACCAGCTGGCACCGCGGGAATGCATGCTTGTGTGCCCTCGGCTCCAGCTTCTCACAGTCACAGCCCTCCTTAGGGGATAAAGGGGGCTGTAGGAAGAGTGTGCAACAGTGGCTACAGGAATACACTTCACCTGCTGAGCGATCCCCGGGGGCAGGTTGCCCTTTTCCACCTGTCTTATTTAACATGTGGGATCACGCTTTTCTCATCGTGAGCTTGTGCTATTTGGTTTCTCATGCATGTTTAAAAGGAATGAGGAGGCCGGCGCCGCGGCTCACTAGGCTAATCCTCCGCCTTGCGGCGCCGGCACACCGGGTTCTAGTCCCGGTCAGGGCGCCGGATTCTTTCCCCAGTTGCCCCTCTTCCAGGCCAGCTCTCTGCTGTGGCCCGGGAGTGCAGTGGAGGATGGCCCAAGTGCTTGGGCCCTGCACCCCATGGGAGACCAGGAGAAGCACCTGGCTCCTGCCTTCGGATCAGCGCGGTGTGCCGGCCGCGGCGGCCATTGGAGGGTGAACCAACGGCAAAAGGAAGACCCTTCTCTCTGTTTCTCTCTCTGTCACTGTCCACTCTGCCTGTCAAAAAATAAATAAATAAAATAAAAAAGGAATGAGAAGAGTGTCTGATTTTCAGGAAAAACTGTCATGTCTTTGAGCTGCAGAACAATCCGCATGTCTCACTTTGTGGGTGAAAACTGAGGTGTGGGGTGGCGCAGGAGTCCCGGGTCTGGTTAGTAGCAGAGGGTCCTGGACAACGGGGCTGTTTTATGCAGCGCTTTTTCCCCTCATCTGGGAAAGCCCCTCGCTTCACCCCTACAGCCAACTGTTGGGGGGGGCTCCCACCCTGAAGTCTTCCCTCCTGCTTGCCCCATCCCGGGAGCGGGCTATGCCCTTTGCCCCAGTGATGGCCTGCCTGTCCACAACGAAGAGTTCAAGGTGAGCAGGTGAACTAGAGCCAGGCTCCGTCCACCCCTGGGAACATTCATGCCAATCTTAGAGGGAGGCGCCCACATGGGATGCTGGTACCTTAGGCAGGGGCTTAGCCTACAGCACGGGCCCCCACCCTTTCTTCTTGAATCATGGCTCCAGGCCAGTCCCCAGCCACATGGAACATCCCGGCCTGGCACCCTCAGAGAGAAGCAAGATGCAAGGAGACCAGGGCCATCACAGCATTCTACTTCCCAGCGCTCACTCCCAGCCACCCCTCACACCCAGTCCCCACCGAGCCCCACTGATGTTTAAGTCACTACCAA